ATAATATAATACTTTCCACGATACTGTGGAATATGTGTGTAGTTTTGTGTCTTGCCTTAAAACACTATTCCATATAAGGCCATGCGAGCTTTGATTGCATTCCCCCCATTGCAAGTCTATAGTTATATCTTCATCAATTTTCCTCGTCAGTAATTACCAGTCCAAGATATTTAAATTTCAAAACGTTAGCTATTTTGTCATCAGCTATATTAATATGATAAACTATATTGTTCTTAAATTTGTACTTTATAACTGTAAATCGTCAAATTAGTATCAAGCTTGCTTTAACCCCCCCCCCCCCGACTGAAATTCTTGAATTCGCAGTGAAAATATAAAAAAATGCATAGGAAAACCAGGAAATGTCAAGGAAATTTGTTCCAGGAAATGTGACCGCACTGAACTAGTTATAAAATTAACATACCTATTTCTTAGTTTCACCAGTTCAACACTAACAATTTGTGGTTACTTATTTACAACCAGGCATCAAAATTATGATTCCCACAATTTTAACAAATGTTTGAAGTATTAACACAAATGATAGTGCAGGATGAAAATGTCTGTTTGAAGCTGAGAGTTATGTTCAATGAATATCTAGGCAGATTATCGTGAAGAAACTGATATATAGTGTAGAAAAATCCTGTGTAACTCTGACTGCCTTGTATCAATTGAATCGATTATTTCAGAAACCCATCAAGTGCCAAAATCTAAAACATGCATTAGCAGTGGATTATTGCTTCAAGAGACATATCGTTTAGTGCTTATTTATATGAAACACATTTATTTATCAACTGCTTTAATTAATAAAAATAGTTTGAATTCAGAAAAAATAGGGAGACTTTTTCTCAGTCTTCTCAAAATGCTGAATTTGGCATTTGACTAGTTTCTGAAATAAACAATTCAATTGTGAGGAATACTATTCATCTATAGTATATTATTTCAACATGATAATGTGTACCCATCACCACTAGTGAAAATGGACAGTGAATGCAAAATTGACAGAGTAAAAAAATCAATGCTGTTTTTTAGCATTTACATTTGTACAAATTTTTATTGTTTTGAATATTTTTCTGTTCTGTTTTTAATCTTAAAGTTTGTAGTAAAATGAAATATTTGTGAAAAGGTTATTTTGTCATCAACTTACTGCCTAATTAAGCATTTGTACAGCTTGTTTCTGCTTTGTAAGAGCGTTTTAGGCACCTCAAATAGGACATTTTAGAGAATAAATATCTGAAATATAGCAATCTTTGAGATCAAATGCGAAAGAATTTCCTTGCTATGATGACAATAACAGCGTCTGAAGCTTCTGAACAACCTACTGGAGCCAGAAATGGCTGAACCCACCAGTATGGCAGAGGCTCTGTTGCTAAAATGCACTTAGTGCTGTCTGAGCAATGTTTTTAAATTGAAGAAACTCCAGGCCTAATACGAAGACATTGCTCTTTTTGTCTTGTTGCAAATACGAGTATCTAATATTAATTTAAACTGCATAAAGCAAACATTGAATCTGAAATTTCTGAAAATTCTATAAGAAATTCAAAATTTCAACCACTAGATGGCAAGAAAGCTGATTTGAATACTGCTTATTCTGCATTTCCTCTTTGTGCATTCTTAGTGTGTGCTGTTCCAAATCCCTCCCCAGTCTTACATTAGTATGTATACAGAGGAACTTGGCTGTGCCCTGGTTGGGGTGTGTTTGGTTGTTTCTCTGTACATTCCCAGTTGCAATTTCATTTTATTTCATTTATTTTTTACATTTCAGTTTATTTTTTATTAAATTTTGTATTAAACACAATTCGTTGTTAGCTATTGTCTGTTCATTTACCTTCCATTCTTAATTTTAAAAATGTCTTAGTTTTTGCTAATTCAATTAATAATAAAAATATATTTGTGTTAAGGCTACTTGGTTTTTTAGATAATATTTTTATTTGTTTTGAACATAAATTTTGTAAATTGTCACAATTTAATTTATGTTGTAATATATCGTAATATTGTTTTAATGGATAATGCAATGCCTACTGGGATTGTTAAAAGCAAGAAATTGCGGTGAATTTGAGAAGCACTTGCTGGGTGATCTTATAGGGAAATACAAAAAAGTCATAGAATACAAAACTTCTAATTTTTGTCTCAAATATGTGGCAACAAGACAACGAAAAAGGAATAAAGACTGCAGAACAATTTGATGGTAATAGATAAATATAAGCAGAATTGAACATATAACTAAATTTAATCCTTACTTCTCTTCACAATATTACATGCAGAGAAAGTGTGAATATATACCATTCACTGATATTTGACTCACAAAAATACACCTAAAATTCGTGTGCACCAAATAAAACTTGTGAAAGGTCACGAAATCACAAGATCACACAACACATGGGTGTCAAGAACCTCGAAAACTACGAAGCATTGTGCAGAGTCACCTGTTTCTTATTTGTAGAATCTATAGGCATTTGCAGAACAGTCTCAGGATCTCTAACATTGAAGTACTCTGGAAAGCTTTCTAAGTTCCATAGGTCTAATTGGTTGTGCCTGAATAACTTTGCCACTATAGATAATTTTATAGAGCCAATAAGCTGATTCAAGCGGCCCTCTATATCTGAAATCAATTAATATTCTTGGGTGATCAAATTAAAGAATTAACTTGCTATGATGAAATAAACAGCGTCTGAAGCTTCTGAACAACCTACTGGAGCCAGAAATGGCTGAACCCACCAGTATGGCAGAGGCTCTGTTGCTAAAGTGCATTTAATGCTGTCTGAGCAATGTTCTTAATTTGAAAACTTCTGGATCTATTAAAATAGAAACTTTGCACTTCCAAGTTGTGCAGTGTATTTGTTATTTAGTGGATATTAAAAAATTGAATGTTTTTGTTAGGAGATCTAATAATAGAATGCTAATTTGTTTTACAGTAAAAGTTGCTCAATATGGAAAAGCAAGGGACCAGAATATTTTTGCGCGTTAGACAAGATTCCGCATTATGCAATGTGTAATAATATTTAATTTGTTTCGCAGGTCGCCGTTTTATGTTTGGATTAGACAGATTTACGTATTTACCAAGTTTTAGTGTTTGATTCAAATAATATAAATTGCGAATGCTATTTGCCCATCTTGTTTATTAAAATGATGACATGGCTCAATTTGGGAAAATTTTGAGGTCAAGCAGGGAGGAAAAGTTTTGTTGATAAAAATAGAAAAAATTTAGAGAATGGTTTCTTGGATAGTGTCTACTTGTACTTGGATATGAGAAATCAGTAGTACTCTGCTATGATGTAAATATCAACGTCTGAAGCATCTGAGCACCCTGCTGGAGCCAGAAATGGCTGAACCCACCAGTATGGCAGAGGCTCTGTTGCCAAAATGCACTTAGTGCTGTCTGAGCAGAGGCATTCGAGAAAGACACCTCCAAGCAAAGGGTATCGCAGGCAAAGTGGTAATTTTACATTGCAAGGTATAGAAACATATAGGAAGTAAAGATAATATATATTTTTTCTTACATTACCTATTTCCCATTCTGATTCTGATGACGATTTGTAAAATTGTGTTAAAAACTTTTAATGTACCTTTTTAACATTCTCACCCTTAAGAAGAGAAAGTATTTGTAATCGTGCTCCAGAAAAGGGTGAAATTTCAATAGAAAAACTTGTCGGACCTTTGTAAAGAAAAATCAGGAAAATCTTGGACTTAATTTGGTACCCTTCCTCTAACACGTTATGTCAGAATCCATTGTGGTGATCCTTGGTGCCGAACAATCGTTGACAAAATGTCTGTGATCACGCTAGCGTCTAAACCCTTTGGTCGAATTTCTCCAAAATTGGTATTTCTTGATCAATTTAAAAGATCTTGATACCGTCAGTTTCACATGGACATTTTGATTTTTTGGGGTACTTTACATGAAGCATCAAATGATTTCAAATGCTCTCGGAATACAGTTCCAAATTTTTGGTTTTACATTGCTCTGGGGTAGTGTAAAGGATATCCCAAAACAATGGTCTCATTTTCATTCGTAATCCTTGAGTTTTCGAAAATAGCTGAAGTTCGTATTTTTTCACCATCTTCCTACAAGTACAATATTCAAGATAATTTTTCCCAAAAGAAATTATTCCTTTCCTGTTTCTTTAAAGACAGGTCTTGTACAACTTTTTGAAAATGGTTAGTTTGCGTGATGTACAGGCAATTTTCAAATTATTTCAAAAACTGTTTCAAAATTTTTTCTTTAAATTTCCACGTGTGCTTCAAAGGATGTAGAAAAAAGTGGTGCTATTCTAATTTCTGGCAAACTTTGTATTTTCGAAAATTGCAAAATAGGTAACATTAAAATAATAGAAATATTAGTGGCTGAAAAATGATTTGAAGATAGTAATTTTTGCCTTAAACAAAATCCATTCTAAAATATCAGCTCTTGAAACAATGGTCATGTAAAATGTTTTGAAAATACCTTGTTTTTGCATTATTTCTTCTTTAAATATTTATAGAAAAACTTTTTTCTAAAAAAAAACTATTATAATTTTTTTTATCTCCCCCTTCCCTTCCTGGATGAAAGAAGGAATGCTTAAGATAGGCAAAGGTCTAATTTTTGTTTGACTCTGGATTTTTGAAACTTGCATGTTGGAAATAATTGGGAGAGGCTGTCAGTTTTGAAGGGGGCAGCCCAAATGAGTACATCAAAGCAATTGCAGTAATGTGGATGGTAAGTTAACTTCAAGGACCTGAGTTTATCGTGGTGTAGAAATAAATTTTTGCTTGTTGAAAACACTTGTGCAAGTTCATATTGTAGTAAAATATTATGGAGCCATTATAAATAATGGTGTGAAAGGCCACAAACATTTGGAAAATGCGTTGTTGTGCCACGACTAGTTTTTTCCCCACCCATTATCTCTTTACAAGACCCTCCATAGTAATGTATATCCAAGACATTTGACGTTTCCAGATGAATTTGAAACTTTGCAAATTAAAAAAGTTGTAATTTGTTTAATCTCACTTTTATCATTCTCTTGTTTCAGGTGTTATTTTGAGGGATTCGCATGGTGTGGCACAAGTAAGATTTGTATGCAATGAAAAAGTTGGAAACAAGATTCTCCGTATAATGAAATCCGAGGGTTTCACTCCTGACCTTCCGGAAGATTTGTACTACCTTATTAAGAAGGCTGTTGCTATCCGCAAACATTTGGAAAGAAACAGGTGTGTGTGTAAATGAATTTACGTTAGACCCAAGTAAATATTCAGTAATTACTAAATAATCATTTTAAAAGGGGAAATAGCTTCATATTGGAACCAAATTTCAAATGTTCCTGACAAGGTTAGCACTAAAGTAGAGTACTCAAAAAGATATTGAACATTCTAAAAGCTCTTATTTTGGAGGTAACTGCATTAGAAACTGCAGTTACCTTCATCAGGGATGGTAACGGGTGTGGCCCTGAAACATTGTGTGTGTTGTATTTGTGCCTGCTGTTCTCCTTATTTCATAACCATGATCTTCAATTTTTTCTTTTTTAAATTAAAAATGTTCATGATTAATATTTTAATTGAAATTTTATGTCTTTATACTTAACTTAAGTGATATTAGTAAAACCCATTTTGTTTTGTTTGTAGGAAAGACAAGGATTCCAAGTTCAGACTTATCCTTGTTGAATCAAGAATACATCGCCTTGCAAGATACTATAAGACGAAGAGTGTCTTGCCTCCCAACTGGAAATATGAATCAAGCACAGCATCTGCTCTTGTGGCTTAAATGGTTGTAGATGCCTGTAAATGTTATAATAAAAACAAATAAACTTGATGTAAAGTCCTCAAAGATCTTATTCCAATTCACCAAGCTTTAGAAAGGGAAGATAATTATTCTAGTGAGGTTATATAGTTCAAGAAGAATTCAACAAATTGATCATTTCTGAACTATTAGGTATACTTTTTAATGCAGATTAGTGAACCAGTATCCTCTAGAACACAGTAGTGTCCTTTTGATTTCGTGTCTTCAATGGTACATCTCTTCATCTTCTGCAGTTTCTGCCTCTGTCCTTTTTGGTGTTTCTTGTTCTTCCCATTGACCTTTCAATCTTCAAATCTCTTCTGGCTTTCCAGGTCAAAAAGGTGTCACTTCAATGCCTTCTTTTCGGTATCCGATGTAACTAGACGCTTCTTCTAACTTCTGTTACCAGTAATGTGTTGTCCATGAGGCTGCGGACGCTTTAAAACATTTTCGGTGTGTGACCGTGACAGTGAAATGAACAAGAATTTTAGTGTTTGTGAATAATGTGTAAAAGGAAATTAAGGAATATAATTATATATCACTTCAGTAAATTTCTGGTTACGGTTTGTTCCATACTTTTTCTTTGTTATTATCTGAGAACAAGTAGAATGGATTTGAAATGTTATTCACTACACATTAAATTTCTGGCTGAGGCAAATACAGCTTTCCTTTAAAATGAAGGTTTAATGTATAATTCCTCTAGCTGATTAGGAAAAGCTCTGGCAGGTGGATCTTGCTAGTTAGTGAAGGGAATAAGTTATGTAGTCACATGTCGTCCATACCCCCAAGCATTTGAATTCCACTATAAGCCCAGGCGTGGGGGACAACGTTAGCTGGTTGACAGCCAATCAACCCAAAATGCCAAATATACATACACTGCATAAAAAATTTAATGCAATTACACAAAAATTATCCATTGATAAGAAAATGTGCTATGCATCTTACACCTTGTATTGAAGACTAATTAAACCTTATTGTGTATTCTTTTTCTTTAAAAATGCCCTTCGCTTATCTAATTAAATATATAATTTTGTTACCTTAACATAAACGGCACATTGTTCATTTTCCATGGAGTACAGAATTATTTCAAATAGAAAAACTGCATTGCACCTGTTTTCTTTCCAGTTACTATTAATTTGTTATTACAGAACCAATTTGAAACTTTTGATAGGTTTCTTTATTGCAAAGAATATTTGAATCCGTAAAGAGAACTGAGCTAAGATTCGGAATTGTCAAGGGCATGTTGTTTACATAGAGTTGAAAGAGAATTGATCCCAAGTGCAATTTGGAAGGTGTGTGTATATAATGTCCCGCTTTCCAGTATAGTATTTCAGCTCTGGTTGTTGTTTGATGTGTATTAAGTCATAACAAGACATAAGAGAAAAACACTAATGTGAAATGGCACACCACCACTTTGCAATTTCTAATAAGAAAGTGCTAATACTTGACGCACATCAACACAAGACTCATGTGGCATTGGCCTAACCAACCTTGAGCAATACAACAGATTCCTTAAGTAGTTTTGAAAGTAGAATGTTATGATCAATGACGTCAAAAGCTTTTAAAAGATTTCAAAATAGTCCAGTATGTGCTTAGTTTTGATCCATGGATTAAGCATCATCTTTAAGAAAAAAGAAATATGGCTATTTCCGTAGTTTAATTTTCTAATTCCATGTTGGCAATCTGAAAAAGCTTTGTGTTTACTGAGAAAGGTTTCACTCGTATGTAAAAATTTCTTGACCCATGAGATCAGCAATACTTAAAAAATATTAGTTCAAGAGACTAGCCACTGTTGTCTATCATTCACTTCTATCGTTTTTTAAAACAACCTTCTCTACAAGGTAGTTAATGTGGTCGTATATCTTACTATATTCCTCATTGTTTGTCTTATTTGAGCTCAAAATATCCTGAATGTTTCATGATTTTAGCCTGCCTTATGACTTTTCTTTACAATGAATTGCTTTTTTTTAAAAGTAGAGGTGGAAATCGTGAGATACATTATAATGGTTAGAAATGAAAAAAAAAGTTTTGTTGTACTTACTCGCCCTTATGAAGGTACTTTGTAAGAAGTTATGCAATTGTGTGCTGGGAACAGTGAATTTTCCGCAGAAAAACTCCTAATAACGTAAAAGGGAGTAACTTCTGTTGGTAAAGAGAAAAAAACATGGTGTTGCCAGAATTAATGTTTTGTGGATCCTTGATTGTGAATCAGACATTTTCAAAATTTAAAAAAATGTTTCCTAACTTTTTGATTACTTTTGGTTGCAGGATACTGTAATGGATAATTACAGGCATAGGTTTAATTTTCATTAAAACTGTGTTTTTCGAAAATTGCAAAAAAATCAATTTTTTCTGTTATTTCGTTTATGTGCTGTCACCTTTTAGAAGGTTGTCTGTTGACTTGATTTCGATCTTACTTTTGCTGCTCTAAACAATTCTGCAGCTGAACAAATGTACAACGTTTTCAGATTGCCCCACCAGGATGTAGGTCTTGCTCTTTTACCACATGTTCCCCTGCGAAATAATGTTTTTCCCCTCTCATGTGTCTGAAATACTGTAACTAACTGTAATTGTTTTTAAAATTCCTTTGCATTTTCCAATTCTCAGGTCTTCATTTGTCGTTCTCGATACCCAACTGATTGTAAGGATTCTTTGGTATGACCACATTTCAAATGCTTCTAGTTTGTTCATGTGTCTTTTCTGTAAAGTCCAAGTCTCTGTTCCATAAAAGAGTTGAAAATACATTACACTTCAACAACCTTATTTTAACACTTCAACTTACTTGCAGAAGACATTTTTCATTTTTTTAATGGTGCTTCTTGCCTTAATCTCATCTGAGTTGTCATTTACTTGATTTATAGTAGTGCCAAGGTATTTATATCTCTGTACTAGTTAAATTCCTTCTCTTGATTAAAAGATGTTCTTGTTGATGTGCTTTAGAAATTACCATCAGTCTTGCTTACATTCAGTGTCAACCCGAACTTCACTTTCTTCCACTTCTTTGTTGAGATTCAGTTAAGTGCAGAATCATTGGAGTACCTAATATAAGTATAGTTTTAATTTTGGGATTTACTTTATATGAAGCCCTTGGACATTTTCAAAAAAGTGACTTCAAACTTTTTAATTACCATTTACTGTTATACCATTTACTTTAATGTCAGCAATTTCATCTGCTAAGGCTGCTTGGATTACATCTTTTGTGTACATGTTAAACAATAAAATGGGGGGGGGGGGTGGACAACACAGCCCTGTCTTACCTCTTAATTTCAATTTCTTAAAACCCATTTCCTAATTTTATATGGACCGTTTGATTGTAGTAAAGGTTAATAATGATAACTTTCTTATGCAGGTTTTCACAAGTAAATTTATAAGTTTGTTATAATCTAAAAAGCAAACGTACGACTGACTAACAATCAATACATCTTTGTGCTAATACATTAAATGCTAATAAGGCTTCCTTTCTCCATAAAGACTTTCTAAATCCAAATTGTGTTACACTTATGTTCTTTCTTGAAAATTCTTTTTTTATAACTTGGAAATAGTTTGAGTGTGGCTCAGTAGAGCTCAGAAGTTCAGGCATTTATTTTACCTAAAATGGGAGGCAAAAAGGCATTTATTCTAGCTATTGTAGGGTAAAAAGGCATGTGACAATGAAAAATTGCACTTAAAAGGATATATTGTAAAACATTAATTAAAATTATTCACATTTTCATTCTAATTCTAATTTTTTTTTATCAATATTTATCATGTAAGGAAACTATCTTTTATTGTTTATCTCGATTTCACAACTTTCCTCAATGTTCTCTCTTTGAAATGATTTCATTGACTCCCATTTGAATCTCGATATGGCAATTCTGAAAAGGAATTTAATTATTTGTTCTTTGCACTTTTGTCAGCACTGAGAAGGGCATGTCATACACAAAGAGGTTTCCTCAGAAGACATCTGAGGTCATACTCGTGAGTAAGATGGGTTTCCTTGTGAACAAAATCTGTTGCCATCAATGAAAAAAATCAAAAATCTCGACTGATGTCCTCTTTCTTTTTCATTTAGATTTTAATCTGCTTCCACAGAAAAACAATATACGACTGTGCCTTTGTGAAGTCCAGGCTTGCGGATATATATCCAGCTTGAATGAGATTGCTGACAAGAGAAAAAAGCAAAATAATAATGTAAAAGGCAAAAATTAGACAAAATAGGCAAAAAAAGACAGAATGAAAATTTACTAAAACAACTCCAGAAGCACAATCAAATGATTCCTATTGTCAAAAGACATGAAACAATAACGAAAAGGCATTTTGCTAAACTTATTAGACTACTCATTAGGGCTCTACTCATTAGACAAATGGTATGATCACAAAAGGCTTTAGAATTTAACTAATTTGGGTAGCGTATGGAATTGGTATCATAAGAGTGGATGTCATCCATTCATTAGGTTAATTCCAGTAACGTATTAAACATATTACTAATATATCTATTCTTTCTACATCTGTGAGTTTCAGTATGGCATTTGTGATTACAACCAATTTGCTTGGCCATTTTTTGAATTATTGATGGCATGTATTTCATGCAAATAATTATATTTTTGGATTCAGCATGATACAAAACCAAGAAAAGAAATTGGGGGAAGCATTATTTTTTTATCAAGTTTTTAAATGATTTTAATAAATTTTCCGTTATTGTTGAATTAAAAAATTCCAAGCTAAGACTATATATAAAATGTTGTCTAACATTTTTTTTTAACATTATATACTAATGTCAAACAATAGAAAAATTGCACAACAAAAAATTTTCAATGACACTGCATAGTTGTAGAGGGCACAAAAAGGTTGAAATTTTTAAAAACCAGTTGTGAAAATGTCATATTTTTTCCATTTTCAAAAACCGTAATATTTCTAGATATTTGTTCTTCATGCCTACAAAATGTCATCCTTGGTCATTGAAAGGATTCAGAACTACAAGCATTTTTATTACAAAATTTGTGATGAAAATTATCTGACAAATTTATTTTTTATTGGGAAAACGATAAGTCTATTAAATTTTTTGCTTATTTTAGAACATTCAGCTTCTACCTGAATTTTACTTGAAGCAACAGTAAAATTACACTACAAAAAAAAAAGTCTTCAATTTTGTGTGGGACTGCGGCAGTTGATTGGTTTGTCTTATGACTTTCTAAGACTGCATAAAATGTGTTTGCATTTGTATTGTCTTAGGACGTCATCATATTCCCATTTTTAAAAGCATTTTAATTTCATAAACGATTTCAAATGTAACCTTGAATTTACCTCGTTTAGAGACATGTTAGTATACTAAAATGATTAGTTTCACAAAGACTTATTTAAATGTTTCCGGAAAATATGTATTCAAATATGTTCAAGCGCCAGTAGTTCATTCTTCTTCTTTATCACCCCCTTCTTAATGACATTCAAACATTTGCCCTCGCGAACGCCACGAAGCGGATCGATGGCAATACCAATAAAAGACAGGAGTGGATGAGCACGACCCACTGCGGGCGCCGACGCCACGGGCGAGAACTGCTGTCGGCAAAGCGCTGCGCCGCTGGCTTCTGTTTACGATGCGTTCCGAAGCATTTGGTAAGTCTGCATAAAATGTGTTTGCATTTGTATTGTCTTAGGACGTCATATCCATATTTCCATTTTTTTATTTTAAAAATATTTTAATTTCATAAACGATTACAAAAGTGCATAGCTCGCTGATTCGCACTGGGACTTGCCCGAGCGCCGCGTCAGTTGCGGGACGGTCGTTTCTTTGGCAGGAACCGTCCCTGGTTCCGGTTTTACCACGCCGTATATGTGGTGTAGAGGAAATAAAAGTTATCATGCACGACATAAACCTCGAAATGTCGACGGGTACTCGAAGTAAGGGACTCGGATGCAGAAAAAGTGGGTATTTCGAACTGTGAACAACTTTTACCGGTTTGGGTGTTGTATATTGTTGCGATCTCATTTCCTCACTCTCTGTCACTCACCCCCTATCCTCCTCTCGCTCCTTCTCTTTCTCTCGCTTCGCTTTCTGTGCAGCTGTTTCTTGACAATTTCACTTCTTTCGTAACATACAGAAAAGGGTGCTTACATTGAGAGAAAGTTCTGAGGGTGGTTTTAAGTATTTTCAAAGAAAAAATCTTATATTTTCGGATGGGGACGATGAAAAGTAAAATGTGTGAATTGGCCAAATTCGGAAGCAAATTAAATCTCTTGCGGCGCTGCTATCGGGTCCGATTAGGCTATCAGAATCTCAGACCGCCAGTGAGTAGTCAGAATTAAAGTGCACTCGCTGTTCACAAACGTTATTAATGACTTCCCGAGTGTACATCAGCAAGATTTAGAAATGCGCGTAATGTTGTGGTGATAAATGTCATGAACGCATCATTGCGCCCATATTTTCGTGGATGTACTGAGGATCTGATTATTGGTTTGTAGATAATTTTACCACATGCGATTCTAAGAGAATATTTTTGATTTAGTATGGAATAGGGTTTGGTGTTTTTGTGTACGTTTTGTTTACTGAGTTTGTGATATGTGCTTTCCAGGCTAATTTTGTGTCTAGTGTTAGTCTTAGGTATTAAACAGCTGTTTGTTTTGATGGCCATGGTACGCGAGTGTTTTCCCTATCTAAAAATTAGAGCATGCGATCACTTTCGTATTCATCCTTGAACAGACCCAGAACATTTTTGTTCGGGTTACGCCAATAGAATTGGAGGAACGTGTCAAAGCAACCTGGACACTGATTCATCTCAGCGCTCACGTTCGTTGAAAAAGAGAAAACAAATGTAGAGGTCTCGAAAAAAATTTGGCACTTTCTAAATTTAGACATTTCTGAAATACAAAAGCCTAAATAAATAGGCTTTACGAGTTTCACTTCAGTTTTACGCAACTCTATGGTGATGGAGTGTCAATTGTTATGATAACTATCCATGAATGCGGGGCTAGTGCCGAGATGCCGTGCTTCTCACGTGCGTGGTGGAAAGGGTGGCCTCCTCTGGTGCACCGATTTTTGCTCGATCTGCGCAGCATCAGATTGCGACAAAAACCACATGATTACAATATGGCCACTTGGTTTGAAAAGCCAGACCAGACGTTGGCCGCCGTGTTGCATAGAGGGCGAGAAGTGTTGAGAAACATTTTGAAAGTGGCAATTTTCAAAGGTGACCAACCAGAAATAACACGAAGGTGTAATTGAAATAAAAGATGCCACATTTAGAAAAAGAAGCTTCATATATCTGTTTCAATTACTTGGAACAAGGGGATAATTTCGGAATCTAGTTGCATTTAAAATCCCTGCTGATATTGTGACACAAACAACCTGAAGCTCATTAGCTGAAGTTGGATACGATGCGCAAAGCCCACCTTTCTCTTGGGAATATGAATGCATCAAGCTACCTAAATATATAGCTTAGGTAGATTGTTAGGTCGCTATATGGAGGAGAATTCTTGCGACCGGCTGCTCTGATCGGTAGATTTTCGTGGATTCTCCGATCAACTGTAGATGAATGCCGGAGCTTACCTTGAAAACGTGCTACGGACCGCGCGCGATCTCTTCTTCCTCTTCCTTGTCCTATCCATCCCCCTTACACACACACACACACACACACACACACACACACACATACATACATACATACATACACACTTACATGCACTACACTACCACACATCGGGAGATCGGTCGGAAATTTAGAGCTTGTCAGTCGGAAGTTTGAGATACCTGCTTGGGAAGAAAACCGTATGCCGACTGTAGATGGACGCCGGCTCTCGCCAACCAGCGGGGGAAGATAACCGCCACCTCCCGCGATAAAAATTATGCACTATTCTTACGGATTTAATGACCTTAGCAGTTGCCGCGCCCGGAAACATGAAATAACCTAACTTGGCGTCGCTTTTAAAATTAATTTTCTCGTTTTAT